GTTCAACCAATCGGAAATCCGCCCAAACCCGGATTGTACCGTTCCCCCCTCGTTCCGCAACGAGTGGTTCCCACCAAGACGCAGCGCGGTGAAGAAGCCACAGGAGACCTGGGTCCGGACCGCGTGACGCGAAGAAAAGGCCAAGTGGTTGAAAGACTGTGGGTGCAGTGACCGAAAGGCTATACAGTACGGTAGTCTGATCCATGTTAGCTATATTGGAGCTCGACTGGAGCTCAGAATCGCTCGAATTCAGTATAGTGGTGGCCAAATAGATAGAAAGCGGTGTCAGTGATCCAGAGCTGTATATAGGCCCACCTCATTTTTTTGTGTGAGTGAGGGTGGTTGTTCCATTGGTTTGGAGATGTTTGGAGCCACTGTGCTGTGGGAATGTTCAAAAACAGGCAGCTCGCTGTCCCCAGTTTGCCTGCTCTTCTTTTGCAATACTCACAACCTCCTGGTAGGGGCGGCATGGATAGTTTGCTTCCCGAGCACTTCAATCAATCATATGGTCTCGTACCCCCGTCTTCACCAGCTTAACCTCCGGTGAGGTTGGTTCACTGGTGGTCAATCCAGGTATCCGGTGCCATGACCCACAGCCAAACGCTCCGTGGAGGTCAATATGACCAAGAGGTAAGACACAAGTACTCTGTGACCTATACATTCACTACCCAACTCACTACCCAAACCACCCAAATGTAGGTCATATTTGCAGCCCTTGAAAAGCTTGTTGAACTAACGCAGCACCAGCAACTGCTGCCCTGCCATTGTAGAGGACCAGCAGTGTCAAGATCTTCTTCCGGTGGTCTCCGTGCCAGGAATGAGACCAAAAGGTAGAGATGCTCGAGCTCATCGAGCTCTTCCAATACCTCAGAGTGGAGGAACCCTCAGTCGGCGATAGCCATGACTTCCTTGCATAGCCAGCTTACTTGAACCGGCAATGCCAGGTGCTCCAGGACCCACCGACCTCGATGGTTTATGACCGACCTCTCCAGAAAGCTCATGGACACCCTTTTAGAAGAAGCCCTGGTTGATCTCACGGGAAGCCCGGTGCCATGGAAAATCATGAGGATCCTTTTGGCCAAGCAGTTGCACTTCCGGCTGTCAGGAACTATGGTTGGAAGCTTTATTGTTTCCAGTAGCGGTAGCGATGCCAGGAGCCCCGTTCGTAGCGTCCTTGCTCCTAGTAGCGATGCCCTTTGCTCCCAGTAGCTTCTTGCTCCGAAGCAGTTCTGTTATTTTTTGATATTTGTTGCCTCCCAGAAATCCAAGTACCACGGCCACAAAGGACTTATTAACAAGGCCCTGCCTCCTTTTGCGTCGCCCCTGGAATCAGGAAACGCCTCACCGCCTTACTAAGCAAAAACAAACATCAAAACCAGCATCTTCCCATCCACAACATCCAGCAACCTTTCTCCTTCCCTTAAATCCACCAAGGAATCGATGCACGACGTAGCAGGCCATGTTCACAGCAAAGAACCAGTCCATCTCTTACATCATTGCAAAACATCCAATCCCAAGAAAGGTCTTATACTCATACCATCCAGTCTCCCACCTTTCCAGCAAACATTTCTGAAACGTGAACTTCCAGCACTGCCCACCTAATACCCCAACCAACTACTTTCAACCTCTGGAAGCTCAAACACCTCGCCCCGCTGGGTCCCATCGAGCCACAAATCCTCGATGCAGTCGACTCGCAGTGCGCTGCCGCAATGGTCCAAGGCCTTGGAGGCGCGTGTGGTGCGCAGCAGCTCCGGGCGAAGCACCCGGAGCTCTTGGAAGCGCTTCGCGAACGCCTGATGCGCAGGCTCTTGTGAGGTGAGAGGCTTCCGTGGGGGTTGGAGGATCCGGTGCGGATCCTAAGGGAGGGTGGTGCGGAAGTGGGTGGAAGAATGTGGTATATAGTACATAGTACACATAGAATCGTAAAGAGAGATGGAGTTGCAGAATTGGGAGGGTCGGAGAGGGTGGATTTTCTCAAATAAAGAGGTCTTGCAATGTCTATCAATGTCTTACAAGAGTCTACACGTTTGCGGATCCCAGATCCGCAAAACTTAAATCTCTTCATGATCAATTCTCAAGAGTATCTAAGACTAAATTATGTCTTTGTGGAAGAGAGGCGGTGAGTCTTGCAGGAAAATTTGGCTAAAAGGAATTCTGGGTACATATACACTCCCTGGAACAATAATGGGAATGGATGGCATGGCTTTTGGATGACCATGAAACAAGTAAGTGGTTTTCTACTTCCATGATTATTTCAGAGAGTGTAATTGGAACTTGGGACAACTGGTTCTTAAAGGCAGTTCGTATCGTAGCAAAAGGTTTGGCCCAATTTGAAGGGCAAGTGGCCATGGGCAAGTGATGGCGGTTAGTTTCCAAATTCTACCCTTCATTGGATATCATATCATCATTTGGAAATGGTGACGCTTGTGTGCAGTGTTGATCTTGTTGTGAAGGGCTTGCATCGATTGGATTCCTTTGATCCGGCCGTTTTCACGTCAGCTGCATGGTCGCTGCAGCGTTGAGGGGCCCACAGGGTGGTCCGTTTGCCAACCCAGCCACCCGTGCGCCCCCGCAGGCGAAAAGCCTCCAAATGGCTGGTCTATGTATTATCCCTAGGGATCCAGTCGTACCTTCTCAGAAGGTACTTGGACACTCCAAACCTACATGACAGTGTCTCCAATCACCTTCTGAGAAGGTACTTGGATCCCTAGGGTATATGATTCGTCCCTTTTTTTTGGATCTCATGCCCCAGTCAGTCCTCTCAAAGCCTTTTCAAGCCTTTCTTCCTCCCCAACAGGCCTTCGCCGTGGCAGGTGAGTCTGGTGATGATATCCTTTGCCGATGACAGTCGGTGTTGGAAAGAAAGGGCTGGTGATGGCTGGTGTTTTTCTGTGGACTTACTGGAAGGAGCCGCCTGAAGAAATTATGCATATCATATCTGGATCAGAACATCAAAGAATCCAAATCTCCCTACCCTTTGCCAAACTAGCATTTGAACTGAGTTCACTGAGTTCTAAGTACTACAGTACAGTACTACACCTCATTGCGCTCGTTTGATGCAAAGCCTTTTTTAAAAAAATGAGGAGCTGAAGATGTTGGGAGAATTGAACAGCAAATTCATAGAGCACGTGGGACACATGGAACACACGCCCTGCTCTTTCGGCCTCCCACATCGAGGACTTGCCACCTGGGCCTTCCGAAAAAAACCTTCGCAGTTCCATGGCGGGGTGCTGAACGAACGGAAGTCGGGGTGCCTGAGTCACATCCTCTCACTGGATACCCCCGAAACCTGAGAAGTGATCCATTCTTCCCCCTAGGCCTCCAAGTACCTTCTGAGGTGTTTGGGGTGGGTTTGGCAGGTTCAAATACCTTCGTTTCGGAGGTTACGACGCGTTCGGTGTAGGGTCCATGTCTTCGAGCCGAACAGCGGCGAAGAGCGACGAATCAGCTCGCTCCGCGCAGCCGCGATCCCCGATCCCCCTGGAGAGAGGGCAGTGGTTGGCTGGAGATTCATCTCCATGACCTATCGTGCCGTATCTGAGGTAGAGGGCTCGTGGGGTTGTTGGTTTAGAGGGTGCAGTCATACCTGGTACTTGGAGCCTGGCTATAAAATTACTTCCAAATTCTCATCGAATGTCCTCGGTCAAGGGTCGCCTGGCTTGGCGATGAGATGCGCACCGAAAATCGAAAAGATCTAAAGATTCTAAAGGTTTAAACAAACCATCTCCGCTCATCATCCATTCGATTCATCATCCATTAGAGCTCACCAAACCATTCTACATCATCTCTCATCCAAGAGTCTCTGTCTTGACGTGCTCGCTTGGGATCTCATCATCCATTGCAAACAAACAGGCGCTTGGTGGCAGCAAGCCACGAACCGCAAGTGACGGCAGCGGCGTTCACGGCAGCGGAGCAACCGCAAAAGCAGGCAGCCCCAGTCCCCAAATCAGGTCGCTGAAAAACTACCGCTGTTGAACAAGCGCTGTTGAAATGTGGGAAGGTGAACGGAGAAGGCTGAAGATTCAGATCTGTTAGTTTAGTTAGTTTAGGAACAGGTCGAATGAGCACCATCTGGAACTCAATCCAAACCCTTTTCTGTCTATGCTAAGGTATATACAGGTTCTGATAGGCTTAGGTAAGAATCCTGCAAGTCACTCAGATCTGCTGATTTGTCATGTTTTGTGGCGGTACGCTCAAGCCAAAGTACAAATCATGTGATGGCACCTTGGCGTAGAATGCTTTTGAGGGGGAGGCCATCATGTGTGGTCCAAAGTCTGTAAGAAGTGAATGTCTGTGTTTTATGCACTGCTCACGCATCTCCGGTACAATGGAACATGACTGACTTTGTTGGCATGTACATCGTTTCTTCCAGGAGTCCAATTTGGTGGTACTCACTGGGCTTCCTCTGTGGCGTACGGCCTACAGCACCGCTTTTTCTGAATCAAACACCTTAGCATTTAGCAAGTCTGAAAAAAACAAGAACCTTCAGCCAGCGCCATGTCAAATTGCAAGGGTGGTGTTTAGATGTTTCTAGACACCCCTGACTACGCATCCCAGACCATCCATGGGACTGGACTAGTTACATTATACTTTCAACATTTGCCCCACAAACATGACCCAATATGGCTATTCAATCTGGGCATGTTCCTTCCCGAATCACTACCCCTTTCCGTGCTGGAGTGCCGGCCAACTTCTCTGGGCAAGCTTTTGTTTGGAAAAGGATCGACTCAACCTTTGGCGTTTGTTGTGGTCCCCAAATTGCTGGATACGCTTTCCAATGCATTCTTGAGTGAGGAGTGCTACATGTCTATGTCTATTTGGGGGTATATATAAAAGGGTCTTCAGGGATCATACTTGTGGGGAAAGCTTCATTCAATGATGCAGTCAGGTAGCCAACCTTCTCCTTTTCAGGGCGTTGAACCCTTGAAATCAGGATAGCCCAACCTGGGAACCAGCCTATGAGCCAATCATGGTGTTGGAGTTATTCGCTGCCAAGGCGCTGAGGCCGAGTTGAACCAAAGCACCCGGGCATTCTGCGCCACCAAGGGGTCAAACAAACCTCGCAGGGCGGCACCCGGTGCTTTCGAACACTCCTTGTAATATAAGTATGGGAACACCATGCGGTGGAGGAAGACGGCCATCAAAGCGGCCATGTTTCATCCATCGGAGTGTGACACCCAAACACAACCCAGGACTGGAATGCATGATGCCTGCCTACATTGACCCTATAGTCACCTTTTGCAACTGATCGGCCATTCTATTTCAGGGAGTGTCTTCAGGTCATCGGCCAGCATGGAAGATTGGATAGGCCGATAGGCCTCACCCTTGGCGACGGTTGATGGTCCATGAGTTAGCGATCAGGCAGAACCACTGCGACATGTTGTTTCTGTTTGTTCTTTCTGTGCGCGTCCAGGATGTGATCTTTGGAAGACCAAGAAGCCGCATTTTGCTACATGAAGCCTTTGCAACATTCATGTCGCAGTCTTTGATGTCCAGCCAACGTGAGCCCTTGCTCATAATTATGTTTTCACGCCTTCCTGATCCTCCCAACTCCCTCCCTCCACCACTCCCGGAACGCTGCACCGCCCTGCCTTTTTGGGGGTCCTCAACCAAACAGTGGCAAGGTGTCCAATACATCCCCTAAGGATCCAAGTACCCTCTTGAGAAGTGTTTGGGGTGGGTTTGGAGGGTCCAAGTACCTTTTGAGGAGGTACTTGGATCTTTAGGGATCTTTAGTGGGACCTCTGGGTCCTCAACGTGATGCCGACCTCATTCCCAGAGGTGCTTGGCGCCGTTCCCACCGAGGGGCCGCCCTCCACGGTAAAGACGTGAGCGCTCAAGAGTCGAAAGAACTCCCGCGCCAAGCCGCCCTCGTCGACCCCCTGCTCGCCTCGACACTCCGCGGGTTGCGAGGGAGGGTGTCCGCGCGAGGCGAGAGGGTGTCTGCGGAGGGTTCCAGCAAATCTTTTTCTCTTTGGGGCGAGCGAGACTGGGAGATATTTGGATGGAATGCGAGGCGAAGTGGAGGAGGAGGGTTTCGTTTGATGAAAGAAGTATGACGAAGTGGGGGCAGTTCCATGCGTTTCGATCCTTTTTTGGGGGGGAAGGAAACCATAAGCGAACGATGGATTGGACTTCTATTTTGGTGGGTCAGGTCTGCTATGCCTCTGCGAACCGCCTTAGGGACCAGGTCAAGGCACCAGTGGTCAAATTGGTAGCCTTCATTGTCCCGCAAATGTTCAACCTTGAGATTTCATGAGAGTTCAGTAGACCCTAGGCTTCCGTTCGACCATTCAAAGAGTTCGGTTGACCTGGTTGCGTAGTGTAAAGTCCTTAAAACAGCTGGTGGTTCGGCAGTCAGGCCATTAAAACCATGGTTGGCCAGGAAGCCGGTAGAGTCAGCGTTCCTTCGGAGTGATTCGTCTGGTCTCGCCTTCACCGGCCCCGGTCCCGCCCCGCCCGACCCTCGGACCACGGCGGCCCCGGGCCTTCGAAGACCACTTTCAGCTGCCGTCGGAGGTCCTCGGGAGTGGCTTTCTGCAGGGCCGCCGTGGTGTCCTCCAAGATCCCTCGGCCACGAAGTGTGAAGGGCACGGCGGAGCGGCCGTGTGCTGGGACGGCGGCCGGTGGCTGGGCTCGGGCTTTTGAGAGCATCGAGCAGAGTTCAGCGTCGTGATGGGCGCGTGTGTTCCAGGGACTCTCCGAAGACTTTGGTCATGAGCTGTGAGCGACGAAGTAGCACGTGAAGTGTTGTTCTCCAAGTGCTCCAAGAGGACCCATGGTGGTCAGTACGTCGACTCCGTATCAAAGACCGAGTAACGTTGGAAACGTGTGGCAGGTTCGGGAGATCAGGTAGAGAAAAAGGCCCAAACACAACGGGACTGCCATAGGACTGCCTATTCCATTCCCAAACACTCCATATATATGTACCTACTCCAATGTAGGCATATATGGCATACATGGAGTGTCTGGGATTGACCCCTGCAGGTCTACCACCCCTGGCCGTGCCACTCGTCAGTCCGTCATGGTAGTCCCAGCGATGTCGTGTCTGTCAGCCGAAGTTAGCTGGGCTCAAAGAACTGGAGGAATCACGAAGAACCAGCAACCACTTCACTTCCCGACGGGTTTCTCCTCAAGCTTCCGCCCGCTGACCTTCGGCCTGCCCAACCATCCAAGCACTATAGAACAAATCCCCTCAGAAAAATGAACCCACAATGAACAATGATATACATCATCACCTCAATAAGCCAAAAAATAGAGTCAACATCCTTGCCCGGCTGATGCTGCAAACCTTATTATATATATGGGAATTGATCTAAATTCCTTTATCAGGGATCCGTCATTTTCGCCAAAAAAATTACTTTCGCCAAACTTTCGCCTTCCTGCGTTTTATCTTTCGCCAAAGTACGTTGTATTTATGTGTGCCATGTATGTTGTGTTTTGTTCACGTCAATGGTTTCTTCTTTATTTCGAACATTGGCCTCTTTAAAGGCTTGATCCTGTCCAGCAGGTCAGTCTGGGACAGAACCAAGTAACAGAATGTGTGTGGATGAGCCTGGGAAGCTTCTTTTAGTACCAAACCCTGCCCAAACCCATGCCCAAGTTGATGTTATAGGAGTGGGCCCTGGGCCCTCCTGGCACAAGGGGTATATATAATATAGTTTTACAACGACTACAACTTTCAACTTACAACTTACAACCTTCTGCATTATCTGCATAGCCTAGTCCCACATGTGGGGCTTGCCAAACCAGTGATGATTTGGAGCGGACCGCTACTACTTTTGGGCAGTTGAGTCCTACAGCCATCATTCATAGAAATTGCGGCAATTGTTTGCATGTCTCAGAAGGACTGTTTTGACAGATTGCCTGCTTCAAAACGTTGCAGGCACAGGCTCATCAGGGTAGGGCCGGGTGGGAATGGACCGAGCAATGATGAAGCGTCGTGTGACCATTTGCAGCAGCAGCTCTGACATAGACTCTGACGATGGTGACCACACCCAGGATGCCCAGGATTCTTGACAGTCAATTAGACCGAAACCATTAGACCATGATCAAAGGTGTCCATGATTCCATGATGGTCCAAGTCTTTCCACTGTAGTTTCAGCAAATCTAGTCATCTAGCCTGGCAGCCTGGCTCTTAACTGAGGAATCTGAGCCTGAGGAACATTTCACAAGCGGGAATGAGCACGCCTTTTCTGGCTCTGACTCTGAATCCAATTCTGATTCTGGATGGTCCGGATCTATCTCAGGGAGATTTAAGGAAGCACGGCTGAAACCATGGTCAGGTGTTGTGTGTGTGCACGCTGGGGGGGACACAATAAGCTATGCGCAGATCACAGATTGAACAGTGATGTGATAGTAAGTGATGGTCATGGTGACATGCAGCAGCGTGAATAGATCTGAACTGCCGTTGCCCAACCCAGGCCTACCTGGCCGGGGAGGGGAACACCATACTACCGGACTTCATGTTCTCTCTCTTTCCCAGAATCTGGTGCCCCAAGCAGCCAGGCTTCAGGCTGAATTGTTAGGGCATAAGGCCGGCCCAACAGTGCTGTCTTAGACCTGAACTGTACATGACTTGACTCAGATGTTTGTGTCAGTGTGGCATTGCAGCAATGAGTCAATGAGTCAATGAGGTATTTTCAAGAGGTTGGCGTGGCAGCGACCGATTTTGTCAAGCAGAAGCCCTGTGGCAGCATTCAGAATGTTTCTTTCCGATGCAACCGATTTGCCCGTCCATTCATACAAACCAAGTCAGTCAAGTCTTTATGCGCAGGTCATGTCTCAATGTAGGGACTGACTTGACTTGCAATATAGTTTTATATAATACATATTCTGCATAGCCTAGCTTATAGCCTATAGCCGTACAGTAGGCTGTACAGGACCAGGACAATTCTGTGGTTCCATTTCAATTTGGGAGTCCGCTTGCAAGGATCTCAGTATGGGGAGCTTGCGAAGGGGCGGGTATCCTCGGATACCTGATGAGCCTTGGGTTGTGAAGTTGTGCCCATGGTCCATGGTGATGTTGACAGGAATGTGGAATGTGGAATGAGTCCAACTTTGGGCAAATCCGGCATGCAAAGACCAGAAATGACATAGCCATGGGCCAAAGCAGTCATAGCCATGGTCATAGCGTAGCAGTTGTAGCTGTAGCCTTGCAAAGTACTTTAGATCATGAGACTCTTGGTGTTTCAAACCTTTTATGCCGCGCCCAGGAAGCATATCGCGGAGTTCACCAACCTGGAGATCAACCTTCTTCACAGCTCAGAGATCCATGCCAAGAGCAGACAGTGGTGCTTGCGTAACTTTGCTTGCCTCTAGCATGCAGCCAGTGGGCCAGCAGTCACTGTAGAATGACATGACATGACAAAGCATTTATGTACCAAACTGTGAGTGCCAGCTGCTAGGATTTTCTGGGTTCCTGATGGCTTTAAAATCAAGTCAGTGTGTCACTAACGCACTCAGTGGCTACCATCATTTATTAGCTTTGGTAGTCAGGTGGTCAGAGTCAGTTTCGCACTTTGCCTTGAGGACCAAACCAGACTGACACGTGCAGTGCATGATTCATAGTTTGGCTGACTGAGGGGATCATTTCTACAGCGACGTCATCAAGGAGGATTTCTGCCACATCTGCAACAAAGCTCACACACCAAATGTTGAAGATCCTTGGCCCCAGCCCCTTTTCCAGAACATAAATTACTGCTTTGGTTGATCACCACTAGCTGCAGCTACTTTAAGCTGGAGGCTGCAGGCTTGCGAATGTGACTACACGTAGGAAAAATGCACAAGGCGTGACATGGCATGACCATGCTGCTCAGTAGTCCGCGGCAATGCTCTTTGTACTTGTCCAAGTTGCAACTAGTTGCAGCCTGCTTCACCAAGGAGTGCCAGGGTGCAGATTTGGCTCTCATGGGCATCCCCTGCCCATTGTTCTCAGTTTTGAATTCTCGGACCAGGCAGAAGTCTTACAACCCCTTCCAAGAGTGGCCAGTTTGCACTCAAGGGTCTGGCTGAGATTGTTGAGACATCATTTGCTGATTTGAGCAAACAAATTCTTGTCTGCTGTTTGAGTGTGCAACTTGTTCAAGTGTGTGTGTGGACTCCAGTAAAAGCTGAGAAAAACTGTAAACTAGTTGACAGTGGCACGCCAACAAACGTGAACATACACACAGATACAAATGAGTCAAGGATGATTCAGGATTCAGGATAATTAACTGACTGACTGACTGACTTCTTGTCATGTGACAAGTGAGTTGTTTGAAGTTCAAAATTGGCAAATTTGGGTCATTTTGATTTCAGCCTTGGCCATCTGAGGAAGGGGTTCGAGGTTGTGCGAGCCTGCTTGCGCAAAGTGAGGAAGCTCAACCCCAAGACCGTGGTGATCGAGGAGGTCTCTTTGAGGCATGTAAAGGCACACTGTCACAGAGTCACAGGGGATGAGTGAGCATATCTAGAAGACGTACATACTGACGTGAAATACACATACACATACAACATACATACAACATTAAGACATACAGCATTTACAGCACGCAGCAGCATATAATACAACATGTAAATCAGAGCCAGAGCCGTCTCACTGTCTCACATACTATACTTTACTACCAACATGACATGAGACAAACAGCTGTAAGCTACATGCAAAAAAGTCTGAGTCTGAGTATGCAAAATTTGTTGCGGCTACCAGGTGCAGAAGTTGAACAGGTCAGCAATAGTAGTACAGTAGTAGTAGTACTAGTCTAGTACAGTATACGGTATACGTACGTTATAAGTTATACTGTTATACTGATACTGTATACTGTATACTCTGTATGCATTATGAAATTAATGATTATTATACTGATACTGTGTCTTGTGTCACATCCTCACATCAGTCGTCATCACATCTCTATGGCCGATCACAGACTTCTCATTGGCATTAATATGCTGGATTCTGGATGCAATTAGATGAATCTCTAAACGAGAGTGCAGAACGAGCTCAGGTGGCCGGCATTCTGAAAGAGTTTTCCCCCCCAGCTCGAGGGAGAGGATGCGAAATACAAGGTGGGCTGCGGGCTGCGTGTCAACGTCTCCAGTAGTCTTTCCAGCGTAGACTCTCTTTCTTTTTGCACTCGACTCACAGCATTAAACGTGGAGCCTGGAGCAGCGTTGAATTCACTTGACCAAATATTGTTTCCAATTGGCAGCATATAAATATAGCATTTTTGTTTATTTCACATTCAATTCTCAGATGTTTAATCTTCATTCAGCTGCAGCATGCCCGCCTTCGATTCCTGCAGCGGGGCCCTGCAGAGCTAAAGGCTATGATTCAGTGAGCCTGAGCCTCCATGCATTCATAGATCGCTTGGATTAGATTTAGATCACTCACCATAAAATCACACATGGCATAGGTGTCATAGACTATAGAGTCATAGACTGTCATAGACTATGATAGACTCATAGGCCCCACCATAGGATCATTGTGTTAGTCTGTAATTTTGTAGGTATGTTACGGTATGCAGTATGTTGCAGTATGAGGGTACGGTATGACCGGTATGGTATGACTGAGACTCTGTTGGTGAAAAGGTGG